CAACCACATCGGTTTCCACCTCATCAATGGTTGCCCTGGAGCAAGAGGGACCAGTGAGTGGGATGACTGCCTTCCATATCAGCTCATGCAGAGGAGAAATGGAAAAGGGCCTCGTCATTGCTACCTATGCCCCGGGGCCCTTAACAAGGGGTGGACAGATCAGGAAACTGAAGCTAAGAGGGGTGGGTGCCTGGTCCTTGGAGGAGGTAGGGCTTACTACAATCCAGGGCTGAGACTCTGGAGCTCTGCCACCTTGCCCACCTCTACCCAAGGCAGAAAGAGGCCAGATTGGCTGTGAATCTTAGGAGGTACAAAGCCTGACAAGCCATCAGTCCCTGAGGACAGAATAGGGGAACACCAGGAGAGAGGAAACCACACAGGACCATGACCCCTTCCTCCCGAACCCTCGCAGATGGAGATCTTGAGGGGCTTGACCCTTCTACTCCTTCAGGGCTGATTCCCTGGGTGAGACCTGTGAGTATGGGCTGTCAGGTGACTGCTTTGTCCATCCAGGCAGCACCTCAAGACCGCAAACCAGCCTCAGAGAGGAGGATCTCCCAGATCCCTCAACCTCCTGGAATGACCAGCCTTAGGAGAGAAGCAGGTCGGGCTCAGCAGAGCCCAAGGTCCTCTCAAAAATCTGACAATGGGCTGCCTGGGGAGTGAAGAGTTAACACATGACATCACCAGAGAAGCTGTGAAGGAGAATCCCCGGAAGGAAGGCAAGAGGCAGATGGATCAGACACGTGACACCCGCCCCCCCCCCAACTGGCTCCGGGAACAGGAAATTGGAAAGAAGGGCCAGCATCCCGGTTGCTCCCCACCCCCCACAGCCACTCAGCTGGCAAGCTGGACCCATCTGGCCTCTTGGGGACAAGGATCAGAGACGGGGCTTACGCCTGTCTGATCGTAGGTCCCCAGGAGCGAGCAGCCCCACCCTGGGCAGGGAGTCTGGCTGGAGGATGCCCTGCATCACAGAACTAGGATTTCCAAGTCCAAGGGGCGGGGCCTGGGGTCATGTGGTATAACCGGTCTTGTCCTCGTTTGAGGAGCTGGACCACTAAGCTCCGCAGGCTGCCCTAGTAGGGGACCTTCCAAGGTGCCTCTGGTGTATCCACCTCTCGGAGTAGCCCCCACGCTTCCCAGCTGAGAAGAGGACAGGAGTCCAGGCTGGGGGAGGGGGTCACAGGGGGAGGGGGTCACAGGAGAAACAGGCATCAGGAGGCATAAAGTACTGGCAGAATTTTGAGGTTTCTTCCACCTGGTAGGACAACCCCGAGCGGCCTGTCCAAGCATTCCAGGATTCAGGGGAGAGGCCAGCTGCCCAGGAAGTGGGGCTGCAGGCGGAGTCACCATCCTGAGTGTCCCCCCCCCCCAGTACAGCAAGGCTGAGGACAAGTTTTCATGCAGCCACTGGGCCACAATGGGAGCTGGAGATGAGCAGGCCCCGCCCTGGGAGCCCCACGCCCCTCTGTGCTCCCTCTCTCCCACCCTAGAGACCTGAGGCCTCCTCCCCACCATATTCCCTGCATTTCTGTGGCTGGGCGGAAGCAGAGGGTGAGGTGCCACCGCCCTCTCCCCAAAAGCCATGACTCAGCACCTGAAGCCCCACCCAGGGGAGGGGGCATTCAGAACAAGGGGCGGTGGCTCCATCTGTGGAGCTTGAAGCGAGTTAGAGACCCTGAACCACTCTGAAGACTGTGTACAACCCCCTACCCTGCCAAGTGGCAGCTGGGGCCAAGTTGGGTTGCAGCCACTGACCCAACACCACCATTCACCACCCCTAACCTCCACCACCCCTCACTCTTCCACCTTTCTTCATGCCCTGCTGTCCAGAGGATGGGCTATGAAGAACATCCAGTTACACTCTCTGGTAGCATCTGAGATGGAGCTGGGGGGTGGGACCTTCTCACTTCCATCTGACCCGGCTAATCCTAGCTTAGATGGCAGCCCCAGTTCTAGATCACACCAGCCAAGTTCCAGTGCACTGCCCTGGGGACCAGAGTCTGAATCATATTCATCATCACCCCCCACCCCACTCTCCCATCAGCACTTTCCCAAGCAGCCCCTCCCTATCAGGAGGAGCCAACCAGACAGCCAGCTCACCCTCCAAGCAAATGTAGGAGGGAAGACCCAAAGCAAATGAGGTGCATGTTCCCAGGGTCCAAACAGTCCCCTCACTCTGGGCAAAGTCAGCCCTGACCTCTGTACACCATGAAAGGGCACTTACAGCTTCAGGTTGGGGGATTAGTACAAAGCTAGGGACAAAGTCCCACCAAGGGGTCAAGGCCATACACAGTCAAGGCTCTGGTCGGACAGGGACCAGTGAAGAGCTGGGATCATAGGGTGCCTAAGCTGCCCAAGCCCACTTCCCTCAATCATCAAGGACAGTAAACGGGAGTGTTGTCCCAGTTGCTAGGCTCTGTAGTCTGCTGCTCTGGGTTGCATCCAGGGCACCCCTCACCCAGCCTCCAGAAGCCTTCACAACAAATGGGAGAAAGGATCCTGGGGTCAGTCCACCCCAGTGCTGAAGACCATGGGACATTCACACTCAGGCTCCTTACCACACACACAAATGCCTGAATTCACACGTGTACAGAAGTACAGTGTATGCAAATGGTGGCACAGCATAGACACGCAAATGCAATGTGCACACGCACAGACATATGTCAGTGATGGCACACAGGAGAACATGTAAACATTTGTATTCAGTGATTTGTAGGCAGTTACGCAATGCTTTACCACGCACAGTGCATGTATTACACGGAGAACTGGCCTGTGCACACATGTCCAGGCACTCATTGCTCGTGCACACCACTCATCTGTATGTCCTGATGCCACTCACTCACACATTCAGGCATTCAGGGACAGAGGGCTTGCACTTCACAGACGATGTGCACAGAGGGGCAGAGCCACACAGGCTGCACTTGGGTAGGCACACACCCACAAACACCCTAGCTACCTGGCATGGAAGAGATGCTTCCTAAATGCCCAGTATGTAAGGTGAGTGCACACGCCTCTAAAGCTGTAGTACACACGTGTGCATGCCTGCACACTCAGGAATGATAACTCACCACCACCACTACCAATGGACACAGCCCTTAACACCCTTTCACCCCACCTTTCCATCCAGTGGACTCAAGTAGTCCTCATCCATGGAGGCCCTCTAGGTCACGCATGCCGCCTCTCATGCCAGCTACCCTGCCAACCCTGGGCCCAATTATGGCTCCATCTGCCTGTCCTCCTGAACTGTTGTAGACACGTGGAGCAAGACTGAGACAAGCAAGACAGAGAAGAGGACTCAGACTCCACAGGCCAGGAGCAAGACCGACCTCCAGGGTTCACTAGGGTGTAGACCCTCCTGCTGAGCTCTAGTTTTATAGGCATGGCACAAAGGTGCACACACAGAGGAGGTGGGCACTCCCCACAGAATGTTGGTTGTGCCCACAGCTGCCCCGCTGGACAAAGATGCCGGGGAGGGGCTGGTCCAGCCCCCAGGCGGCGCCCCGCCCCCAGCACACACCCTCCGCAAGAGGTGACCAGCAGAAGAGGCATCTTTTGTTTCGGTCCCTCTGGGCTCTGGAGGACACGAGTACAGGGTTCAGGGAAGGCTGCACAACCATAGGGCTGCGGGCTTTGTCCGAGGCGAGATCCTCTAGCTCCCTACTCACCGGCCTGTCACCGCACTGACCCCATCCCTCCTCCCCCACCAGACACAAAGGCTGCATCGACGCCCCTTCCCCCTCTGTCCCTCCCTCGACCGGTGCCCGGTACCCCAGAGTCAGGCGGTTAGGCTGCGGGCCCCCTAGCCACAAAGGGGCCACCCGCGTCCTAGGGTCCGCTAGGACCTGGCCCGCGTACCTGAATCGCGGCGAGTCCTTGATGCATTCCTCGAACTCCACCGTCATGGCTGCGGCGACCGGCCGGCTCGCTGGCTCAGGACTGCGGCTCGCTGAGCGGCATCCCCGGCCTGCCCGGCCGCCGCCCGCTCGTCCCGCCCGCGCCGCGCTCGGCGCCCGCCCGCTCAGAATGAGGCCGCGGGCCGCCCCGCCCCGCCTGTCACCGCTGGGGAGCGTCGCCAAACTACGCCGCCTGCGCTCGCCGCCCGCTGTCACTACCAGGGAGCGTCGGCAAACTCCGCCGCCCGCGCGCGCCACCCGCTGTCACAGTCCGGGTGGGGGTGAGGAAGTATCACCTACGCCCCTCCCTTCAAGCTTCGTGTTTGGTTCACTCTGACCCAGGCTGGGCGCTTGGGGAGGTTAGGTGAACTCAGTGCAAACGGAGCTTCAAGAGCGGTGGGTGGGGGCATTGGAACCGCCTCCGCCCAATGCAGCGATCCTCGCCATTGCGCAGCCGTTGCGCAACTCGCCACTCGGGGCGTTTGCAAAAACCACAGCTTGGAGGATTTGGCTAGAAAGCTGCGCGGGGTGCGAGGGGCAGAGAAGGGGGGAAGTGAAAGGAAAGAGGAAGGAGGGAGTGAATTAATGAATGAATGAGTGCATAAGTGAGCAGGTGAAGGCGTGGAAGAGTGCAGGAGCGAGGAGTAAATGAATGAAGTGAGACAGGGACGCAGGACAACCGTGTAGGACATCACCAAGTGGTTGTAGTGGGCGATCGGGACCTGGCCGGCACTTTGCGCCTGCTCAGCTGTTAAGGGGAAAATTGTCAGTTTGAACCCACAAGTCGCTCGGCGGGACAAAGATGTGGCACTCGGCTTCCGTAAAGATTATAGTCTTGGAAACTCGATGGGGCAGTTCCAGTCTGTCCTACGTGATCACTAGGAATCCGAACCGACTCGACCGCAATGGATTTGGCTTTGGTTCTCCGCCCCTTCCCTTCCCCCTCCCTAGTTTGGGCAAGCTATGGGCGGGACGAGCACGCAGGCGCAGGAGCGCTCTGGAGGGCGTGGCTCTGCTGTGTGCGCGCGCCCGCGGGCCCACGTGTCGTGGATCGCTCATTCCCGCGCAGCCTGATTCGTTCCAGCCCGTTTGGTCTTGGCCATGGGCTCGGCGCCCGCGGGCTCCGTGCGAGCGCGCTACCTCGTGTACTTCCAGTACTTGGGCACCGCCTTCAAGTATGTTCCACCGCCCAGACGTGCGGAGCCAGAACGGACGAGCCCCAGGCGGGGCGGGGGCGGGGGCGCTAAATATAGGGTCGGCTCGCCCGGGTGCGCCTCCGGACAGGCAGTCCAAACATTCGCGGGGAAGGAAATGCTTTGTTTGGCGGCCGAGGGCGGGCAGGGCTGGACTGCGGAGACTTGCCGGTGACCTCTGCCTGCTTCCGTCCACAGCGGGGTCGCGGCTGTCAGGGGCACCCAGCGCGCCGTTGGAGTCCAGAACTTCTTGGAGGTGAGAGTCCCGCTGGATGCTGGCTGGCTGTATACGGGCGTATAGGAGCCCCGCGGGTTCCTGGGGGACTGGAAACCGTCTTCAGTGGTCGCTCTGGCCCTCTTCGGTGCTCCCTCTCCCAGGCTCAGCTACTCTATCCTGCAGGAGGCCGCAGAATGCCTGAATTCAGTGGAGCCAGTCAAGTTTACCGTTTCCAGCCGCACAGATGCTGGCGTCCACGCGCTGAGCAACGCAGCACATCTGGATATCCAGCGCTGCTCGCATCAGCCCCCTTTCTCCCCCGAAGTACTGACCCAGGCCCTCAACACCCACCTGAGACACCCAGCCATCAGGTGAGCCCTTTGGTGTAAACCTTGTCTGGCGTAGTCCTGCTCATGGCAGGCAGATGAGGAAAGACTTGGTCTGAACAGATCCTCCGAGGGCTGATGGAGGGTGGTTGTCCTGGTTCCTCTTGGGTGGGGTGGGCAAGACCTTCCCCAGTGCAGCACCCTGTGCTCCACAGGGTAATACGGGCCTTCAGAGTGCCCAGCAACTTCCACGCCCGACACTCAGCCATAGCGAGGACCTACCTGTACCGCCTGGCCACTGGCTGCCCAAGGGCAGACCAGCTCTCTGTGTTTGAACGGAACCTGTGCTGGACTCTTCCAGCGGAGTGAGTATGTGAGTGGGGAGGGAGCTGGCAGGCCCTTTCATTTGGCTTTTCCACCTGACTGCCCACCTGACTCCCACAACAGCACCCTGGACGTGGATGCCATGCAAGAGGCTGCCCACCACCTCCTGGGGACACATGACTTCAGTGCCTTCCAGTCAGCTGGCAGCCCCGCCAATAGCCCAGTGCGCACACTGTTACGTGCCACTGTGTCCCCTGGGACTGCTAGCCCCTTTGTCAGTCCCCAAGAGTACAGGTGAGGAAGAGGCTGTACCTTGACTATGCCACACACCACCAGATCTGAAGGTCCTGGGAGCTCAGTGGCACCCCAGTCCCTCACCCCACACACAGGCACTATAGGTACAAGAATGGGGGTCAGAGGCCTCTGACGCCCCAAGTGGTGGTCACCACATAATCCAGCTGGAGAGTCTTGGCCCGGATGGCCTGCAGCTGTGGCCTCCCTGGTGGGGTCCCTGCCAGGCTAGGGACAGGGAACAAAGAATGCTTTCTCTGTATGCCCCTCCCTGACCCAAGCTGGGTTCCAGTGATGGATTTTGGCAGCTGCTGAAAAGGTTCCATGGGGGTAGACTATCCAGGCTGGTGGTTCCGGCCCGGCCCAGCAGGGGTGGGTTCTGCTGCCTCCATTCTCCTGGACCACCTCCGAGCAGGTGGTAGGACAGTTGTGAGGGAAGAGAGACTTCAACAGTGGGGAACCTGACTCCCACCAAACACACCAGTGTGGGTTGTCAAATGAGCAGCAGTGGGCCTTCCCATATCCACCTCAGGCCCCCTGGCAGCATCTCCCGAGAGCCCCATGGGCTCTCTATAACCAGGCTCCCCTTTCCACCACCAATCTTAACTTGCTCCCTCCTCCAGTTCCTCTCAGCAGTTTTATTTGGGGAGTGGGGTGGGGGTGTGATGTTGAAAGTTCTCAGGGTGAAGAAGCCTTGGGAGCTAGAGCTTTTTGGAGTCCAGCACTTGGTCCTGGCTGGCCCCGTGTCTCATCCCTCGCCCTGGATGGCCTTGCTCCTTCAGTCCAACATTGCAGGACATCACAGTGCCTGTGTCCCCAGGGAGCTGCGGTTCTGGAACCTGGAGTTTGAGAGCCAGTCCTTCCTGTACCGGCAGGTAGGCTCTGGGCTGGGCTGGGGTTAGGGGCGTGGGTTAAGTTGGGAGTTCAGGCCATCACAGCAGCCTTGCCTTGGGGTCACAGGTGCGGAGGATGACAGCAGTGCTGGTGGCTGTGGGACTGGGAGTGCTGACCCCTGCCCAGGTGAAGACAATTCTGGAGAGTAGAGACCCCCTTGGCAAGCACCAGACACATGTAGCCCCAGCCCAAGGCCTGTTCCTCATGGCAGTTCGGTACCCAGGCCTCACATGACAAGGTGAGAGAAGACACAGGGACTGGCAGGAGCCAGCTGTGCTCTCCACTGCCAAGCCCTCCTGTGGGTCCTCCTTGGGGAGGGGACAGAGATGCTGGGTTGTTCTTGGTGGCTCTGCCATCACAGCCTTCTTGTCATTCTAGCAGACAGGAGTCTGGACTGCACCCTGCAGGGAGGCCCAGGAGCTCAGGATGGGGAAATTTCTAGCCAGCCCAAGGACCCTAAGATGGAGGTCTCATGGGACAGCTCTGGCCAAGTCTGCACCTCCACATTCCTGGGTACCTAGAAGTGGCCTTAAGGATGGAGGTCTCGTACAAAAGCTCTGGGTGGGTCTGCACCTCTACACTCCTGGGTACCAGGAGGCAGGCCCTGCACAGAGAAGTGAGTCCCCTCCCTGCATAGGATCATACATGTCTCGGAGCCTGTGCCCTGCAGATCGACAGAGCAAAAGCCATGGCTATCATGTGGCCAAAGTTAATGCAGGATGGCATGCTGGGCCCAACTGGGCACCAGCAGGCCCTGGAGGAACCCACCCTTTCATAGGCATTGAGCTGCAGCTGATTTGGCTTTCTGTGTCTGCCTCATGCATGTGGGGAGTGTCCACAGGCTGCGTGCACCCCTTTGGAGCACAGCACCCATGATCAGGCTGCTACTGTGAAACAAGGAGATGTGAACACTCCCTGTTATTGGTCCTGGCAGTCACCCCCAAGGTGATGAGTATCAAAAACGGAGCCCCCAGAGGCCTGCATTTACTGGAAACTCCCCAGGAGCGTTCCCCATCTCCTAGGAGGCTGAGAGAAACAAATAAAGACCTGGAGACAGCAGAGCTCTTGTTTATTTATCTGCAGGAGTGTAGGGCACTAAAAGGTCTATAGTCCCACCCTGGACTCCACTTACCCAGGGGGAACCAGCAAGCAGACCCCTGGGTGCTGATGCTGCCCTGGAGCAGAGCCTAGGCCCTTAGCAGGCAGAAGTGAAGAAAGAGACAGCAGGTCTGGTGAGGTCTCAGCTGGGGGCCTGAGGCAGGCCCTTCTTGAGCAGTGATGTGAGGTAGCTCCCCAGCTCCTCATCCTGCAGAGGCAAGGGGGTGGCTGCTAGGCAGGCCTTGCGTTCCTACACACTGCCTGCAGCAGCAGCATGCCCTGGGAGCCCCCTACCCCTGTGGCCACCTACCTGGTAGGTCCAGGAGACCAGCAACACTTTGGTGCTTGGGTCCTCCGAGTGGGCGGCAGCCTGGATAAGGATGGATTCCACCGTCACTGAGCCGTCAGGCAGGTGCTGCACACAGTGGTCCTTGAGGATGCTGCAGGGAAGGGGCACAGTGAGCTCCTGGCCTGGAGTCGGGACAGAGATGGAGGCCAGGGCAGGTCTGTCACCTCTTGAGGTGGCTGTAGACGCGCATCACTGTTTCTTGCTCCTTCCGGGCATCGTGCAGGTGTACGCGGCAGGTGAAGCGCAGCTGGTGCTCAGCCAGACCCAGCTCCTTGAGGGCTTGTTCTGAGGACACCAGCCGGAAGTTCTGCAGGGGCCACCGGGACAGGTTTGGGTGCATGAGTTTGTGGAGAGGAAACATGGGGTCAGGGCCCACTTTCTGCAAAGGATCCATCCACTCACTCACACTGTCCTTCATGATCAGGGTGCCCTGCAGCAGCCGGGGCTTCTTGGCATCGGGGAGCAGCCCTGTAAGCAGGAATCACAGCCATGTGCTGGGGAGCTGCCCACTCGACTGCCTTATGTGCCCCACCCACCTTGCTGCCTGGCATACCCTGTGCCATCTCCCTCTTCAGCAGTCCCAGCGAGATGCCCACAGGAATGCTGGGGCTCGTAGGCAGCGTAACCGTCTCGCCATTGGCTGGCATGTAGCAGTTCACTCCTGGGCAGATGGACAGAGAGGGCCTCAGTTCAGGCCTGGCCAGCCCTGCCCACAGCTAGTCCCACCAGTGCTGCCCTGGCCACAGCCGCCCCATCCGGTGCCTACGGAACTCCTGCTCTATCTTCTGCTTCAGGAACTCCATCTTCTTGGCCTCGCCGTGCACTAAGAGCACGTGCTCGGGTTCCGCCTGCCCGATAAGCTGCATGATGCCCTTGGCGTCAGCATGGGCGCTGAATGACATGTACTCCACCTGCATCTTGACCTCCAGCTGCAGGGCAGAAGGCAGTATCACCGCAGTGTGGCTGGATGGCCTTGCCCATGTCGGGAGGCATCACCCAGCCCACTGTACCCAAGGGGCAAGCTCTCACCACCTGCCGCCCCTCCATCTCCAGCTTGCGCTGCCCGCTGAGAATCTTGTGGCCCACAGTGCCCTGCACACAGTAGCCAGGCATGATGACCTGCAGAGGTAGGAGGGGCAAGAAGTGTGTTGCACCTGCAGACCCTTGACCTTGGCCTCCGCAGATGGCCACCTTACCCATCCCAGGCAGACACAACCAACTCATCCGTGGCCCTGACCCCCTCTTATGAGTGAAGATGCAGACCCCTTCAGGGTTTCAGCACACCCTGGTGTGCAGGAGCCCTCACCATATTCTTCTCATTCCCTGCCCACTTTCGGAAGATCTGAAGGGACTGGCCGGCGTGCAGCATCCCTGGCGTGGCAAACACCACCTGAAGGAGGGGTGCAAGGTGGTGGTCAGTGTGAGGAATACACCCTGGGAGTGTGAATCCACTGCAGAACCAGCGAGGCCTGGCATCCCTCAAGGCTGGACTCAATCCTTGCTTCCATCCAGTCTACCACTGATCCACCTAATTATACCCAAGGACAGGTATCCTTATTCCCCCAGGATGTATGCAAGCTAGATAAACGTGTGACGCTCTGGCCTAAAACCCCAGCAACAGGCACAGCATGGCTGCTCCCACAACAGGACTACACCATTGGGCCGGGGTTGTCCGCAAATGCTCGGTCGAAGGCCTTAATGTGCTTGAACTCAAACATGTTCCTCTGGACGAAGGTCTTCCGGATCTTCTGGTTGGTCCAGGTGATAAAGAGCTTGTAGTAGTGGTTGGCCTTCTCTGTCAGGCCGGTGGAGAAGTAGATGGGTGCCTTCAGGTTCATCCGCTCCCTGGAAACCCAACCTGGAGTCAGGGCAGTAGCCCTGGGCTTCCCCTCCCCCACCGCAGCCGGTCAGGTTCTTGCCACACCTACCAGAAGGTCTCCAGCAGGATGCACAGCTCCTGGGCCCGACCCAGCGCAAATACAGGGATCAACACCTAGAGACACACATGGAAGACTCAGTGGGGCTGGCAAGGCAGCAAGCCCTGTGCACACCTGCAGCACGGCAGACCATGCAGCGCTCACCACGGCCACCCTCATGAGAGCAGCGGGGATACCACTGTCGGGTCAGATGGCCCTAGGCTCTGTGTCTCGAGACGGTGGGACTGGACACTTTTGGGGACTGAAGATTATAGATGCCAGGGCCCACCCACACAGCCATGGGCATCAGTCACCTTTCCACCACGCTCCACAGTCTCATGGACCTTCTTCAAGAAGTCCCTCTCTCGGCAGCGCTTGGAGTCACGGATGGTTGTGGCATATGTGGATTCCGTGATAAGCAGATTAGGGCGGCACCTGTCGATCCATGCAGCCCTGGGATAGAGGTGGGAGAGATATGTCCCCACAGGGCAGGCTTCTGCTCATCTCCTCTGGATCAGCTGACAGAGCCACAGGGTACCAGCTCACAAGGGTAGGAGCAACAAGTGGGGGTAGTAATTCTGGCCCTCCCACCAGAAGCCAATTTCCTCTGCATAAACGATCGGCTCATAGGGGTGAGAAACAGAATGACAGCATTGTGACCCCGTTCCCTGTCTGAGGAGGGCAGGCTCTGGGGGAGAACCTCACAATGTGAAACAAATCCATCTCGGCTACTCACCCCAAGTGCCGATCTGGGGTCATGTTGTAATCGCCCTGGAGGAGAAGGATGATGGTGAGAAGGGGCCTTGTCCCTCTGCAAGGCCACAGCCCCCACTGGCCCAAAGCCTCTACTGACCGTGTAGACCACAGACTCTGAGCCCACTTTAATCTGGAACATGGCTGCTCCCAGCACGTGGCCTGCATAGTAGGCCTTGATTTCCAGTTCATCGTCCACCTACGGAGGAAGTGGGGAGCTCAGGCTTGTGTGCTGTGCTGGGCAGAAAGTCAGCAGAGGGGCTTAAAGAAAGCCTAATGGGGATGTTTGAGGGGGGGAGCTGGCATCCCTATGCACCCCTGGTGATCTTGTTTTCCACATGCGATGTCCAGTATTTATAATTAATCAGACCAGAAGCTGAGAAGTGAAAACAAAGGAAACAACAAACTTAAATGGCACCTGAAAATGGGCTGGCTTGGGCTGAGTGTGGCTACAATGGCTGTGGCTGACATATTCAGGGATAGAGAACAGATTAGGAATTAAGGAATAAAACCCCCAAACCAACTAGAGACTAGGTCTAGATACATATACATGGTATTTTAGGGGAAAAATTTTTCTAAGACCAATAATTATAATGAATCAAATTAAGACGTCAGTGAATTCTGTTCAACAGTAAACTCTGTGTAACCAGGAAAAGAATTACTATTCAGTACGCATTTGGAGACCAGCTGCTCTGCAGGAGGAGGAGGGGCAGTCTTCTCTCATGTGATTAACTGCCTCTGAAAACCCACTGAAGGGTCAGCTATGGGTTGGTTCCAACTTGACGGTACACAACATACAACACATGTATTTGGAGATACATCCAGCACACAGCACAAAGCAAAAGGATGGATGAGAGGTGCAAGCTCTGGGGAGAGGGCCTGGCATTGTGTAACTGGAGCCCCTCAGAGAGTGGGGAGCAAGACTGGACAGAGGCACATCTGAAGAAACCCGATGACAGGCATCCTGCCAGACTCAAGAGGACCTGGAGCTAAGTAAGAAAGAAACCAGACATAGGCCACCATCAACACCACAGAAGCCCCTCACTTTGGCAGAATGAGCCATTTATTCAAAGCACTGTAGGAAAATAACTGCCAACCTGGCATCCTACACCAGATAACACGGGTCCTTCACAAATGAGGGTCAAAGAAAATGTATGAAAGACTAATTAAAACAGGACGCACCTTCAAGGAGGAGGGGAACTACCACCAAACAGGAGGGTCAGGAATGGAAGGAGTTGTGAGAGGCAACAAGAGGGTGGACAGATGGACAAAACCAAGCAGGGACTGACTGCCCGACACAATTAATGATGGCTTCTTCCAAGGACTGGTCTGTGGAAACAGAACATGCTGGGAAAGACAGAGGGTCACACAAAGAGGAAGGACTTCAAGATGACGGTACAGTACT